AACTTCAAAAATTGCGCAATATATTAGACTGCAACCAAATGAAATGTTTAACATAAAGTCATCGTAATCATATGAACTGTTTGCCTGCTACAACTTTTCATCCAAAAGTCGAGTCATGGTATTCAGCAAATACGTCAGGTACCAGTCCTTATGAATTTATAATGCGACATTTTACCAGTCCTTAAGACAGTCTTCTGGCATAGAACATGACAGTTCGACCATCGTAGGCGACGGCGTCCCTATGTGCCCAATTGCGTGGATGCGGAACCGGTGACTTGCGTGTGAATTGGTTCACCGTGAGACAGGCCTGGTCAGCATCTACCGCACTATCCTTCCTCGTCTAACTGACTTCAATGACAAGGCAATCGGAGGTGAGCGCGGACGCGGTGGCCAACAAAACTAAGCAGGCCGCCTACGCGCGCCACACACGACTTAATCCCACGTCGAGCTTCGCCAAAAACGGCTCAGAACTCCCATTATTTAGGATGCCATTAAGACCACAGTAATAAGAAGACATCTCAGCCTGACAGTCAGCTCCCCAGTTGCTTCAAAATACTCACCATGACGGCGGAGTTATCCCGTCAGTTGGTAAATTTTCCAACCACAACTCCTAACGCGTTCTGTTAGATTCAAATGCATCAGATTTAATATACTGATAACGGGCCTGGTTTGATGTGAGGATGGATTTCCCAGTGTCGGTCTTATTTTCTCCCCCTCCTCCTCCTCCTTCTCCTCCTCCTCCTCCTCCTCCCCTCCTCGTCCTCCTCCCCTCCGCATCTTCCCTCTCCTCCTCTCCCTCCTCCCGTCAATTATTCGAGCATGTTACGCAGTTGACGGTGAGGCAGTCAAGGCACTCTTTCTACGTACCTCAAGCATGACATATTCTGAAAGCAAAAACCCGGCACGAACAAACTATCCAAACAAACCACTGAAGGACCCAGAAGAGGTGTATAGGCCGTCAAATGTTACAAAGGTCTTCAATAAGATCTGAAGTGGATCCTCAAGAGGGTTAATAACGCATATGTAAATTTTTGGCACAACGTAAAAGCCCGGAATTGAGTATCTGCAATCCACGAACAGGAATTTTCAAACCTTTCGTCGACTTTCTATCTGTTAGCCTGCCCTTACTTTTTTAAAAACAGTTTGTTGGTCGTTAAAAAAGCCTGACAACTGCCAACTCCTGTTTTATCTATTAA